AAAAGTTACATATTTTGATGTAATGCAATTATTGCATCTGATTTTTGTAATTCCACTTTATAAATAATTGTTTGCTTAACTTTTGATGAAGTTATCATTCCTAAACTTGTTAACTAATTTCTTAAATAAGAATACACATATTGTATGATATCGTGTTTCTTAACTAGCTTTCTGAACATGAAATTTAAAAATTAAAATACTAATTATTTCCTTTAACTATTGAATGATGGAAGTTAGCTCGACTTTTATTTTTACCGTGTTTACAATTTTCTGTTCTGCATTTTGTTAACTATTTTATTTAACGTCAATATGCATTTTAATTTTTTATAAAATGAATAAATATTTTCAACAATTCATGGATATATTTTCGTTTTATTATAAAAAATACGTTCATTATATTTGGGCATAATATTTGTAACTTTACTTTCAGGTTCATAATTAATTATCTCAAAGATCTCAGCATGAAATTTTCAACATAAATTTTAATAACGTTTTTTCATACGTAATGATAATAGATTAAAACCTTAAAGCGTGACTGGTCATAAATAAAGATTTTTTTTATAACTGATTTTAAAATTTTATAATTTAATTTCCATAATGTCTTTTAACACAATTACTTAGTATTTATTATAGCAAATAATTGGAGGATGGTAGAAGTAAGTTTTATAATACAACTTTTGTTCTAAATTAAAGATAAAAATATATACTACAAATTTATTACAGTTAAAATACCCTTAATATCAGTTTTTTTCGCTCATAATACTCATAAAAATTATTAAGAAAAATTGTTAAAGGCGATGTTTTTTAGCATGTAAAGAAAAAGGCATTTTGGAGTAAAGAATTTCTTAGAAATGTCTGTACACTGTAAAAAATTCGTATTCTTTTTGCGTATTTTCTCTGTACATTTGACGGTTTATAGCTGTGTTTTAACAAAATGGTTTTTCTTTGTTTTTCATGCAAATCACAAACGATTTAAATTTGATAACTCTAGGTTTTTTTCAAATGATTTCACGATTATTTTCTTTACTTGTTCTTATTTCTCAGCAATTATTTCACGGTTTTGAACATCATTATGGTTTTATGGTTTTAACCATTTTATGGCTTTGAACATAAGTAAAAGTACGAATCACCATTTTTATCTAATTGATACTCTACCTGATTATTATACTAATTACTCTACCCGATATTTCTTTAGACAAAATGTTAGTATGTTAAGCTGCAAAACAGTTTTTATTAAGGTGGGCAGATACAGTTTTAAACGTTTTAAAAAGTAATTATAATTTCAATAAGTAAGGCTTTTAAGATCTAGTTTAAGATTTTCCTTTATATTGAGACACTAGATGTTTGGTCGATCAGGGGACAGAGTGCTTGCCTCCCAATGAGGAAACCCAGGCTCGAATCCTAGCATCGACTGGTCGTACGATTGTTGATCTCTGCTTACGTTGACCATAATGCTATGATAGTTATTTTATAGAGTTGTTTTGTTAAAACAATAAGGCTTGTTGATAAAAAAAGCGGTATTTATCTGTTTTTAAATAACAGTAATCTTTTGTGAAGTAAATGATCTTATACTGGCAAACCAGTTGACAGTTTTTTTTGTTGAAAATTTAACAGATTTTTTTTTTAGTACAGCTAACAAGATTCTTACGTGACGTATTAACAACTGTTGAAGTACGATAGATTTATAGACAATAAAAAAGGGTTTGAAAAGGTCGGAATAAGAGAAATTGTAGACGTGTGTAAAAAATTCTTGTTCCTTCTTGATTAATCTCTTCTGTCGGAACTCAACTATTCATTTAAATGCTCGTTCGAAAATGAAATAAAATTTACGGTTGTCTGGATGTGCTTCAGAAACGCCGGAAATTAGTCTAATTTAGAAATACGTGCTCTGGAAATATTTCGAAAGGACATTTATTCTGGGTGATCAAAACAAGATCATGTTTTGTTTTTATAGGAAACAAAATAGCAATTATCTTTCGTTCCAAAACATCTCAAACAAAAATCGAAAGTTGATTTCTAATTTTTTTAACAGAAATGTTTTTAAGTTTGCATTTATTAAAAATTAATCAAGTTTTATGGATAAACAAAGTTTTATGGATAATCAAGTTTTATGGATAAAATAAAGGGACACAGAATAATTTTTATGCATGTAGTTTTTGACATATTAATGCAGTCATTTCCCATGGAATCACAATTCGGGAGTTTATATTTGGTAAAATTAAAAGGGGAAATATAAATTTTTGAACAGGAAACACGCAATAAAGACTGGATACGGAAGTGTTTTTAAATTTTATTAGTAGAATACTTTTTTTACTGGAAATGAAATTAGGCTAAAAGCTTTAAGTCCTTTTTTAGATAATTTACACAATGCTTTTTAAACATATTTTATATTCTAAGAATGGCTTTAACAGCTATAAGTAAAACTTAAGGTTAAATTTTAAATTCTTAGAAAAAATAAATGTTTCTCTTCTTTCTGTTATTTTTATTCAATGGTGTATTTTTAATCAATTAATTTTCGTAAAAAGAAGTGATTCTACTAAAAAAAGCAAGTTTTTAATGTGTAGTTTGCAGAGTGACTTCAGATTTTAAGAAAATATGACTGTAATAAACGGCGAAAGAAAAATCGTGTAAAATTACCATACTGTATGCTCATGACATTTTCTGTAAAAAAACTCAATAATTCTGGTAATAAAAACCAAAATGAACAGTATTTAAATTATTCATTTGGTGATTTTTCCGTTCATATGACAACGGTTTACCGAAAATTCTATTTTTTTAAAATATTGTTCTTGTTATCAGGCATTTAGTAAAAAATACAAAACTGGAAAGTAAATTTAATCGAATGAATGGTTTTTAAGCCATGTTCTAAGGTATCATGATAAAATTAGAAAATTTTACTACATTTATCAAATTTTAGTACCTATTGTAAAATGATATTTTATTGTTAATTTTACCGAAATCTTTACCAAAGTACTTTGGTAAAAGTTACCGAGCTTTTTGGCGTTCTTACTAGTACATTCGGGTACTTTTTGACCATATTTTTTTCTCAATGCAGTGAAAATACAAAATTTCCCATTTGATTTATTTGAAATAGGATTATGATTTATGTTACTTCGAATAAGCTTACAACCCTCTATTTATTAACGGTTTATTAATGGTTTACTCCTAAATTGTTACTAAATTACATAAAATTTCATAGAGAAACACATTAAAGCAATTTAATTTATAAATGATGGATAAACTTAATCTGGTTATAGTATGAAAGATTCATGAAAAATGCGCAACAGTGATTATTTGTTGTTGTTGCTTAAAACAAAAATGCTTCTTGCATGAAAGATTTCATACTGAAAACTTTTTTTTTCATTTCCATCATTTACATGAATAAAATAAGTTTCCGCTTCAATATTTTACTCGAAACGATTATTCTTGGGACAATTAAGTATACGGAGTGAATGCTTACTTGAACTAAGTTTTTAAGTAAATTTGTTAATAAATATTTATTAGAAATGCAGTTAGACTTTTAATTCTTAACATTTTTTAATAGTAATAAAATCTTTTTCAGTATTTGCGTTGTTATAAATGGAGGAAAATAATGAAAATTCATTTAGCGGCAAGTTTGTATACAAGATGAACAGTGATTTTGCAAAAAAGATTTTCTTATATAAGTTATATTAGACAACAATTGAAGAAAAAAAAATAGTATTTATTAACATAACTTATTCCCTATACCTATTACCGATGCAATATTATTATTGAATTAAAATTGTTTTTAAATTTTTCAGATTTCAAAATATACTTATGCTTTAAAGCAACTTTTTTGTCGTAAACAAAAATAAAAAACCAAATTTCAAAAAAATCTAACTATCCTTCTCAAAAACATTTTAAAATAATTTTTTGTTCTTAGAAAAGTAGTTTTTATGTTTAAGGAAAGAATAATTTTTTTTACACGGAATGAGGCATTCTTATTAAATTTCCGTTTTCTATGGTAGTGACATTTCTGGTAAAAAACTGATAAACATAATTCGGGTGAATATAAAATTACGGTATTTAAATTATTCAATTGGTAATTTCCCCATTAATACCGTATCTGCTTACCATCAATTCGGATTTTTAAAATTATGATATTTATTACCACACATTTATTTTCAAATACAAAACTGAAAAGTAAATTTAATCGAATAAATTATTCTTATGCCATGCTTTGAGGTATCATGATAAAATGACCAAATTTTATGGAATTTACCAACTTTTATCAGTCATTATAAAGACGTATATCATTGTTGTTTTTATCAACAAAAAAAATTGACCATACTTTTTTTCTTTGTCAGTCTATTCATGGGCATTAACGTAGATATATAATAGCAAAATAATGCAAAAAAAAAAAAATTTTAATACCAAATAATAAATTTTTGTTTTAATTTCTTTACGAATCCTTAATAAGGGAAGTATTACAATTTTAAAATTTTTTTACTAAATGTATTATGTAAAGGAATTTTTATATAACAATAAATTTCGTTAAAAATTCCGTCAACTAATAGAATTTTTTTTAGTGTTGTACGTTTAACATTGCGTTAAATTTAACAAGAAGAAGAGGAATATTGCAATTTCATAAAATCAATAGAATATTGCATAATTTTTTTAAAATTTATTTCCTAAGTGTCTATTATTAAACAAATAAACAAATAGTGCTTTTACGTTATTCTTAACAAAGTGACGAATATACTTAAGAAATGGAAATTAAATTTTCACTATGGATCGTGACAAATTAACACAGTATTACACTTTCCTTTGTTATCGTACAACAACAACATAAACAAATTATTTATAATTTGTATACATTGTTGTCATACGAGATGAAAATCAAAATTCTACAACACTAATACAATAAAAGAATTTGATTTCGACAAACATCTAAAACATTTGCTTCAACGCTTATCTCTTCAGTGAATTTTATAATAACACATACACTTTTATAGTTTAGATAAAATGCAATAACTTACCTGGTATGGTTTTAGATTTTCCAAAATCGTCAAACAGTTAAGGTTCTAAATTAAGTAAATATGGATGCTACTGTAATGAGACGGCATGCTTTACAGGACTAGTTGATTTGGGAATCCTTTTATCCCTAAATATCTATAGGATGACGTAGAGGATGATAGGAAAAGGATGATCGAATGTTAAACTCAATCTCTCTCATTTTTCGTTCTCATTGCTCTTGCCGAGGAAGGGATAACGATTTGACAAATATCGCCAAGTTTGGCGATCAAATATGAAGCTTATTTTTTTCATATATATTTACTGCTACTATTGACGATTTAAGTATAAAATGAAACTAAATAAAAAAATTTAAACCGCAATAAATTATAATCTCAAACTTTAAATTATAATTAACTTAATAAAAATCTTTAATAAAACAAAAGCTTTTAAATATTATAAATCATTGTATCACAAAATTTATTTAATATTATTAATATTTTTAAATATATTAGGAAACATAAAAGGAAGACTACTCGATCTACAACAAAAAATTTGTTATGCAAAAGTATTTAGTTAATTTGTAATTTTTTTCTCCAAAATGTTATATTAAATGACAATATCTTTATTAATATAACTATTATATATTTGTGTAATTATGGAAAAAATCTACGAGGAGAAAAACATGTTTTAAGCAATTTTTTTTACAATATAATTAATTTAAGAGGTAAATAAAAAGAAAAGAGAAGAAAAAGAGAAAAATGGATAGAGAGAGGAAGAAAGAAAGATAGATAGAGAGAAGAAGAGAGAGAGATTAGACGAGTGAGACAGAGATATATTTAATAAAAATTTAAAATCTATATTTTATGCTCATAAAATTTAGTTTGAATCCAAACAGGTAAGAAAATTTTAAGTTATGAGTCTTAGAAACTTGAATTACTATATAATTATTCAATTTAACGTGAGGACTTTTTTCATATATGTTTGAAAATATGTTTATTAGAAAAGATTACATAGACACAAAACAAATGTATTTGTTTTAAAAATTATTTTTAAGTTCGGAAAGAGATGGATAAAAATTTTGTTCCACGCAATGTCGCCAAAAAGGACTACCTTAGTCGCCAAAATGATCAGAAACAGTTGCCAGTTTTCTCCTCCCGGTTTCATCAAAATCGATTATTTCACCCTGCCCTCTACTTCTGCGCATATTTACAGGGTCTCAGACGACGATTTGGACACTACTAGCATATTTTTTATTTTTTTCTTCTTCTTATTTATTTCTTGCCCAGGTGTAAGGAAATTAAGTTATTACGATTAAAAGAGCCTAAATGGCTTATATTCCAGTCTAAATATTTTTTTCTCACAATTTTAAAAATGATTGCAGAAATTTATCAAATTTAAAAAAAAAAAATCTGAATATTGGAAGGTTTTAGTAAATAATAATATCAGATATAGTCGAGTATTGCTATACACATTGTGTCTTAAATGAATATAAATTTAAATTAATGGAATATTGGGGATGTTATAACTTTCAATAGAATGATGAATGTTCTTCTAAATGCAATGCTTGAAAAGTTTTGTTGGAGAAAAATTAGAATTTAGTAATTCATAATTATATTATATTATGTAATAATTGGAATATTATTGTACACATTATTGTTGTTTAAATAGATATTAATTTAAATAATTGAAATGCATGTGTTGTTGCATCTTCAATATAATGATGAACATTTACTAATTGCGATGTTTGAAAAGCTTTGTAAAAAACTTAAAATCTTACAGAAAAACATTAAGTTGAATAAAATCGTTATTTATAATTAAACTCTGGATTTATCATATCCTTGTATACGAGTATGAACCTACTCAAAGTTCAGAAATTTTAAACCTTAGATGAAATTGCTTTCAGTTGCACAATTAGTATAAATTTATAATAATAAATATTAAAAAAAAGTCTTAAAAGTTCAATTCAAAAGTTATAGATTAAAATCGTATTCCTTGTAGGCCAATTTCATGCAGCTAGGAAATTTTTTAAATTGCTGAGTGCAAAGTCAAGTGAGTGAGTACGAAGATATTTTACTAATTTAGAGATAAAATTTTAGGTTATATATGATAATTATTTGCTCACAAAATTGCTATTGTCTAATAATTATTTAGCTTATTGTAAAACAGCTATAAAACATTCCTTTCGTGATAAAAAAATAATTTCGGAGATTATTTTTTTATGCACTGTACTTGGAGAAACACAATTGGAATAGACAAAACTTATTATGAAGAAAAATCTAAAATTCAAATTTTCAAATTAGTTAAAATTAAATAAAAAAAATCAAAGAATTAAATTAAATTAAATTAACTAAAATTAAAATTAATTGAAGTTAAAATTAACTCAAAATTAAAATTAACTAAATTAAAATAATCAATTAATTAATAAATCAATGGATTTATTTGAGTTTGTGTTTACATTTTTCTTTTCATTCAGATTTAGATTTGCTTTAATGCAGATGTATAGTTATAGCAGTAAACTGAGAAACTTGAATACATAAGAGACTTTATGTTTTTTTCCCATATAAAAATAATTATAATTCTTTCATGTTTCATTGATTTATGTAACTACGCCTTCTTCGTAATGCACTAAGTCACGCGATATCTCTGATCTTTCATAAATGTCATTTAAGTTATACCACTACTTTTGGGTATAGCCCAGTCAAATTTGACTTTCAGTTTTAACTAATTTTCGAAAAGCTGGAAAGGGTTTTATTTCACTAAAGGCATCTCAAATAAGAAAATTATCAATTAAATAAATAATCCAAGTCACTGAAGCGGTAAAATATTACGTGTTTAAAATTTCATTCGCTTCGAAAATATATAAATAGCAAATAATAGTTGACATGTTTCAAGCGCTTTAAAAATAGGCACCCATTTTCAAGACTTGTCAGACATGAATGAGAGGAAAGGTCATATCACTACTTGAAAAGTCATCTATTTCATTTCAAATTTATTTTTTAGTTAAAATAAAATGGTTCTCTCTTCTCATTCACGTCTGACAAGTCTTGAAAATGGGCGCCATTTTTAAAGCGCTTGAAACTTGTAGACTGATATTTGCCTTTTATATATTTTTGAAGCGAATGAAGGTTTTAACCAGGTAAATTGCAACGTTTTCTTGGGGTGAGCTAAGCTTTTGAGAGCAAAAAAAACTGATAAAATTTTAGGCATTTTCAGTTTATTCTTTAGAATATTTAAACGATGCAATCATTTTCAGCCTTCTTGGAATTAGTTGGAGGCATAGCACTTGTGTCTTGCACAGAATGGTCTAATATTACAAAAATATATATTTATAGCGTCGTATCTCTGAAATTGCATGCATATTCATAGAGATCCTGCCAAAAATATAGATTCTGCTTAATATAGAATAGCTAACATTTACTATAATTTTCCATATTGCAAGAGAAAAAATCTTAATATAGTCATTTTTGTAAAGATATAAATATTTTCTAATTGCATTTTTGCAATTATTTTTAAAATTCTTTTTGTTTTCCTGTATCCTTAGAAAAATAATCACTCGAAATTAAATAATGTAGTAATTGATTTTATTTTGATATTTGTGTTCTCATATTATCCGTAAAATTTTTCTAGACAAAATTTGATCCAGCCTTATGTTTTTGTCTATAATTTCTGAAAACTTAATCTCAGTTTCAGGATTTAAAATATCTTTTTGGATAGTTTGCTTGAAAATAGTACGCAAATAAGTTTTTATCATTAAGAAAAAAAATGCAAAGTGCATGCAAAAATTTGTGTACAAAATTTGTGTGCAAAAATTTGATAAAATAAATTTAAAATATATGTTTAAATGTTGTAAAAGTTTTTTTTTTAATAGATCCATGTTTTATATTTATTTTATAACCGTCGTTGAACTGTTGGCCTAGTTTTTAAGTTGAAGACTACTTATGTTCAACTCCGTAGCCTTGTAGTTTTGAACCCAATTCAGAAGACAAGGGAACTCCTGGGTCAAGAATTAAGAGAAATTTGACTTCGTGGAGGACTTGGATGGAACTAACCCGCATTTGCGTTACATGGAGAAGAAAGCTTCCCACGGTTAGCTTGACGGCAAGGGGACTTTAACCGATCATCCGTCTACCACTGAGGATATGTTATGTCAGGATATCGCTCTACCCCCCCCACCACGGCTCCACCAAATCTATAATATTAGAAGGAAGAGTTTGGTCTGCATGGCAGTCTGTTTTGCTCATGCGTATGTTCCTCTCACAGTTACAGGACAGCTTGGGCTATCATTTTGAAATAGTTACAGCATGTGTAAGAAGAAACTTTTAGCCAAAGAACTAAAAATTATTCCAAGATTTCAAATAGTCCGTTTATAATGGACGTTTGAAAAAGGTTAATGGTTTAGCAATAGGCATTTTCGTAAATTTGAATAATTAATTAAATATTTAAAAGATAATATCAACTATATTTTCAAGCAGCTTTGTTTGATTGAAACAGAGTTTCACTGAGAGTTAATCGCTAATTACTTATCTTTGCTCAATTATATCAGCTAAGTAAAAGCAAGATCAACACAGGGAGACCTCAATTAATTATTAGTTTCAAAACTATCTGAAACCACGAGTTTAATTTCTTTTTGGTTTCGCTATTGAAACGTATTCTTATAAGCATAAAAGAGGAAAAATTATAACGGTAATTGAAGAAAAAAAAATTTAAATAATTTTTTGAAGTGCAAAATTATTGTAGAAAATTTCTCGATTTTTGCAAAGTTCGGCAATATTGTGTTGGTTGCGAGCATTAGCATTATTTTCGGTTTCGAATGATATGTATAGTTTAGTCAATCTTTGTTTGAATGAGATGCTTTATAATCTTAAAATTAAAAGTAATCTAATCATATCTTAATCTTAAAACGAATAACTAATCATACCTTAAAATTAAAATTTAATAAATAAGTAAAGTGAAACTTTTTTTTGTTGTTAATATGGTAAATAGTAATTTTTAAATGATTTTTAATGCTAAAAAAATTAAAAAGCGCTAGTCTTACATTTATTGTAGATTATACTGTTTAAACTGAAAAATATTGTATTTTTTAGCCTTCACTTCTGTTTTCAGTGCTTTTTCGTGAATCTGTTTAAATATTCATGAAAATTTACTGTATAAAACTCATTTTTATTCAAAAGTTTATGCAATAGTTATAAAGGCAGAAAAAAAAGAAAATTTATTTTTACATTTTGGTTATAAGGTTTGGAAAGGGAATTTTACTATTTTGAAAAATAAACACAGCAACTTTTATTAAAATATTAAATAAAACATCATGAAAAAGACCAAGAAAGTTCATTGCTATTATCTCCGGACGCAGATAAATTATAACACAATTTTTATTGTTTAAATTTGATTGTAAGAAAAATTTAATATTGCATAATTTTTCTTACATTTTTTTCATTATATTTGATAGTTATCTTTATTTTATATTTCTTCCAATTTTATTATCATATTTATATGGATTTAAGAAGTGCAATTTCGATGTTTATAATGTTCAAAAATGAAAACTTATGAGCTGCGCTATTATTTATTTCTGTTGCCTTAAAACTAAGACTTTTGAGGAGCACATACATTGTAGAAAATTTCAGATCAAATTTCACCAAAAAAGACCGGCACTGTGGGTACATCATTGGTACATGTTTGGGTAAAATAGATGTTACCGTAAAATATTATAAGGTAATTTTTACTTTAATATTTATTTAATGAAAGTGAATGAGTTTAATTTTCCTCTTTGTAGTTTTACTAAATGAGTTACGGGAAATTTACCAAATGAATGGTATAATTTCCGTATATTTTTGTTTTACTACCAGAATTACGGTTTTTTTTGCAAGAAATTTCATTACCGTATAAGTACTGTAAATTTAGCAGAATTGTTTTTCCATGTAAAACCAAAACTTAAATTATTGATTCTTTTTAAACTCATATGTAAGCCAGTTAGAAGAACATATTTGCAATCAAAATTTCAAGAAACACCTGTAACGATAATATTTTTATTCTAATTTCGCAACAATAATTGACACAAATCGTCAAAACTGGTCTTTATAGTAGGTATATATATCAATATTTCAGTAAAGATTTTAGTCCCTTTCCTGGAATGACCATCTATGGCTGGCAGTAGGGCGACGATGTCTTGGTGCTTCGTCGTGTCTCCTTGGACAATATCCAGATATGGGATCATATGCCCCATATTCACATTCAGGAATATGGCAATGATTCGCTTCTACACACCTAAAATAGAAACATCATTTGAATTATACTTTAAATTTGAATCATCCATATATATACACTCTATAACAGAAAAATCGACGCACCAAGAAGGAGTTGTCCGATTGAAACGAAAATTGGCAGATAGGAAGACAATGTGCAGAATAGTAAATGATTAAAATTTCAGAACAATTGAATTATTTACTGCAGAGTTACAGAAACAAGTTCAATAAGGTGTTGACCCGCCTCTAGCCTGGATACAAGCTGCCACACGGCGTGGCATAGACCGATAAAGCTCCCGGATTGTCTCTAGCGGTATTTCCTGCCAAATTCGATCCAATTGTCGAACGAGGCCATCAACATTCCGTGCCAAATGCAACCGCCTTCCCATCATATCCCAGACATGCTCGATGGGAGAGAGATCTGGCTATCTGGCAGGCCAAGGAAGAGTTTTACAAGCTTGCAGACAGTTCACAGAAACACGTGCCGTATGTGGTCTGGCATTGTACTGCTGAAAAACCAGCCCAGGGCGCTGCAAAAGGAACGGTAGCAAAACAGGTCTTAGGATGTCGTTGACGTACCGCTGTGCAGTAAGTGTATCTCTAATGACGACCAAGGGGGTCCGGATGTCAACGGAAATGGCACCCTAGACCATAATGCCTTGTTGAGAGCCGGTGTGGCGTGCAATAGTGAAGGCAGGATCCCACCTCTGCCCTGTGCGTCTCCAAACACGTTTTCGATGATCGTCAGGACACAGTTGGAAGCGGATTCGCCGCTAAAGACCATACGTCCCCAGTCGGCATCATTCCAGCCATATCTGTTCAAAACATTCATGCATACGAAATTTCAAAACAATCGGATGATTGCTTCTCGGTGCGTCGATTTTTTTGTTATAGAGTGTATTTCTCCTACACAGCGACAAAAAAAGCCTCATTACAACTCCCCGAATGGCAACGCTAGAAAATCGACAAATGATTGCCACTAAAAATGTCACATGCCAAATCTAAATGAGGTGGCTCAACATATAGCGCCTTAAAAAACGGAAACTGAAATAACAATTCAGCTGCGGCAATCTCATACTATTAGGCTAGGCAGGAGTGAGTAGTCTTTGTCGATAGATCTCTAGTTTAGTATTTTGTCGAAAGCGCTTTTTTTCACGAATTTATATATTACGAATTTATTTGAAGATTTTTGATTTATATCACGAATTTATTTGTTTTAGTATTGTCATTAGTTATTCATTGAAAAATGAGTCTCAGTCAATGAGTCTTTATTTGAATTCATATTTATTTTAATGACTTAGTATTTACTAAAAAGATGTAATTTTAAAAAAAAAATTGTTATATGGATTTGAATGATTGTTTTGAATTCTTAGAATTTTGTGCATTAGCAATGAAGCCAAGTTAGAAACGAGCGAAGCGATCTTGGTTTGCAAACCAAANCTTGGTTTGCGAAGCAAATCATATAAGATTGCGTAGCAATTTTCGGGGGTTGGCGAGCATTAGCGACCAGGTAGCGCAGCCCACTAGTACTATATAATTCTTTAACAAAGAAATTTAAATAATTAAATGTAAATCTGAATAATTTCACGTGCTTTTAAACGAAATGTATTCTGAAGAAAGTATCATCACCGACAAATCATTTTTATACTTTTCATACTAGAGTAGATGCTTATTGCTACCTGATATCACGATTTTTAAATAAATGACTAATTAATTGAAATAATGAACCAAATTTCATCATAAATATATCGCATGTTCTTTTACCAGTAATTTATATTTCCTTTCAAATCGATATTTATCGTTCATTGTCTCTCTTTGTTAGTACAACTCTCAATATAACCGGCACTTTGGGTGTATTATCCGTAAAATATTATACCGTAACTTTTATAGCATTTTTTAATTCGAGTGGTTCAGTATTTTTATCTAATTACTACTCTAAAAATTACGGTAAAGCAGATTTTTCGTTCCGTAACATGTTCCTGTAAAGATGGACTTTACGGTAAAGATACCGGCACCTGAGTCTCCGTACGTTTTACCGTAATTTGATCCGAAATTTTTAACAGTGTAGTTATCTATACCTATTGTTGCTAAAATGAATATTATTATTAAATAAATACATTTTTAAATGAATGTATTTTTAATAGAACAAATTTTTTAATAAATAATTAAATAAAATTTTCATTCCTAGGAAATCACATATTTTTTTTACTCATACTTAATTGTTCCTTCAGAGTAGATGTTTCTCAATAATATAACAATTTTTAAATAAAATGAGGTTTTAAACACTAAAATTTTTTTAACACGCAAATGAATTTTTTTTCTATGCTAAATTTTTGTATTAAAGTAGATATTATTGACAAAAACATTTGCTTAAACATCATTCTTTAACAATTACAGTTTTTATGTAATTTGTTGTCTCTGTTTTCTATCTCAACTTTAATAAAATCACATATAATGTTTTGAATGGTGTATAGATAACTTAATAAATAATTTGCTAAAATCCCTTGTTTCAATTCATAATTATCAATTTAGCTTCATTACGGATTGTTAGGTTTAAAAATCAAGATAAAAAAGGAAATAAAAAGAAATACAACAAATTTCATTAACATAATTTAATAATTAAAATAATTTTTTCCACTAAATATCAAGATGGAAAGATTTTGTTTAAAGAGTCTTAACTCATTTATAAAAAATAGAATAAATCAGAATGAAAAAGGTGAATAGAATTAATTTACGCAATATTACACCGAGAAAAAGTTATAATCAAAACAACCCGAATAAGTTAAAATTTACCGTATTTCTGACTCTACGGAAACAAAAAAATGCTCACTAATTTTTTTGATTAATTTTACAATGAAATATCGCTTGAATAATAAAAGTCGGAATAATAAATTATAAAAGTTGGTTAATTTGATAAAATTTGGTCATTTTACAATGGTTTAAAAATCATTTATTCCGTTAAATTTACTTTTCAGTTTTCTATTCTTTATCGAATATGTGATGATCAATATTGTAATTTTGAAAACCAGAATCGCCGGTAATCCTTTACCATATGAACAAAAATATTATAAAATAAATGGTTTAAATACCGTATATTGCATTTATGTTAACCCAAATTATGTTTTTTTTTAAAACTTTTTACTAGAAATCCCATTATTATGAAATACGGTAACTTAACAGAATTTTTTACTCCGTGTGATACGAAAAAAATTCAATGAAAAATTAACTACTTAAAATATATATATATATATATATANATATATATATATACACTTCAAAGATCTAATAGATTTTTTCTGGTTATAAAAACTTTATAAATTCATAATAGAACATTTTAATAACAATAAATTTTTCAATTCAATGTTTTTCAAGATCTATCCGGAAGATTAACTTAAAATATACAAACGTTAACTGAATAATTTAAATTTTATTCAGTATAAGAAACAAAATATATATGTTACCAGCAGAGTATGAAACGCCGGCATTCTATAAAATGCCTTGGCATTGTATATAATGCCGGATGTTTTTAGGCAAGGTATGAAATATGAGAAGTATTAGATACTTTCCCTAGGCATTGTACATAATACCTAGGCATTCTATAGAATGACAAATGCTATTTAGCTAAAGTATGAAAAAAAACGTCCTGATGAGGTTATTATGTAAATGATGCGTATTTCTCAAAAATAAAAATGTTATTCCTAAAAAATAATGAAAGTGCCATTAAAAAAATTTATTCAAAATAGGTAAAGAAAAATGAAAGTTGTACAAAACATAATTTAAGCATTTCTTATTAAGGGAAACAAAATTTTCGTATAAAAAATTCGTATTTAAGTCACAGTTATTTTCAGCTTAGAAACAAATATTGCACAAAATATCCATTTCATCACCTCTACTAGCATGGCCACAGAAGATTTCATACTTTGCCGGTTTCTCATTTGGCATTCTATAGAATGCCTAGGAAATGTGTGAAATATAAATCATTTCATACATTGCCGACTAGTTTTAGGCATTATATACAATGCCTAGGCATTCTATAGAATGCCGGATTTCAAACTTTGCCGGTAACATATATAACAGAACAACATATTGTCCATACCTGATAAAAATTTTGATTAGAATTATTTTGTTTATTTAGAATTATTTTCTTTAAATATTTTAATTAATTAAGAAAAATAATAATGTGTTTAACCCGATTCTCTCAAAAACATCAAAATACAGAATACAAAATCAAAACAAATAATGATATATGATTTTCTCCTAATAATGATTTCCTATTATACTTCTATAATTACCAATATAAATTGAATGAATTGAGAGTTACAAAGCTTGCATAAATATGTACTATTTAAATTTAAAATGATTTTATCGAAAAACTTAACTTAATATGAAAACTAACTAGCCAGCGTACATGCAAGTATCGCAAAATAATGTGATTAATATGTAATATTTTTTATATGATTAAATCGTTAATTATTTTCTTTTTTTCATATTTATTAATAAAATATAGGTTTGCTGAAATATTCAAAATTAATTAAAATAAATTTTCAACATAAATGGAAATAATGAAAAGAATGATAAAAGAACTAAACCCTTAAAAGAAGCAATTTAAAGCTGGCCTGGAGAGAGCTTTATAGGAAATCGATCAAAACATTTTTTACGCCATCCTTAAAGAAAGAATGACTATTTTTTCAATGAGTATTACTTATTTTCTTTTCAATACGTCAATAATGTAGTTTACAAAAAATAGTTTTATTGAAAAGCAATTTCGTGAATTGCTTCTATATTTTTAAATCCAGGAAACGATCTGTTGTTTATCATTGTTGAAGTGACTCTCAGATCTATATTATTTTTTGGAACATATACTATAATATTATACTATTTGAAAGAAAGGGTTGATGTTGCTTAAGACTTTATACATTTGCCAAAGGATATAGAAGTTACACGTAGAAAATATTCTGGTTAAAACACCGTACTATATAGTCATGAAATTTCTAATAAAAAAACATAATTTTGGTTAATAAAATGGAAATGTATGGTATTTAAATCATTCATTTGGTTATCTTTACGTTCATATGGTAACGGTCAACCCGAAGTTTTGATTTTCAAAATTATAGTTCGTTTTTCCACACATTTAGTAAAATTACAAGCTGAAAAATAAATTTAATCGAATAAATGCTTTTTGTGCCATGTTATAACAAGATATCATGATAAAATTAATGAATTTCACTATATCTTACTAATCTTACCATACCTAAATTTTAAATATTTTATCTAAATTTTACTACCAAACATCATGGTTAAAAACCATATTTAATTTTTAATATTACCAAAGCGTTTTGGTTAAAATTACTGTGATTTTTGTCGTTCGCATAGAACCAGAGACACGGTAAGTTTTGACCATACTTCTTTTCGCAGTGTAGAATAAATAATTCTGGTAAAATTACCGCACTGTGTAGTAATGGCGTTTCTGGTAAAAAAAAACATGATTGTGTTTAATAAAATCAAAATATACGGTATTTAAATCACCCATTTGGTTATTTTTCTGTTCACGTGTTAACGGTTAACCGAAAATTAAGGTTTTTGAAATTAGAGTTCTTACTACCACAGATTTAGTAAAAAATTCAAAACTGATGAGTAAATTTCATCGAATAAATGGTTTTATTGCTATGATCTAAAGAATCGTCATGATAATATTACAAAATTTTAAAACATTTAACAAAAAATCATATTTTACTGTTCATTTTACCAAAATCGTTACCAAAGCATTTCGGAAAAAACTACCAAATTTTTTGTTCCTCTCATAGGTAAAATAGCTCGAAAACTACTTTTAATGATAGAAACTTTTTCAAAATAATCACATTTCCGAAAGAAAAAAAAAAAAAAAAAAAAAAAAAAAAAAAAACCAAAGCATTTATTGAACTTTATTGCAAATTGAACAATATTTGCCTGATCAACCACAAAATTATCCAAATGCCGTTAGGTTTATTTAATAATTATTTCTATGTACTTCAAAAAGCGAAATGATTTATAAAATTTTTACTACGCATTTGATGGGAAGAGAAATTTTTTTTTTTTTTTTTTTTTTTTTTTTTTTTTTTTTTTTTTTTTTTNTTTTTTTTTTTTGTCTTTTTTGTTAATTATTTTAAAGAGAATCACTCTGGTTTAGAAGAAACTAAATATTCCGGGTGCTCTGTGATTTCTCCTTAGAGATTTTTTTTAATAATTATTCCCTCAAATAAAGTTAAAATCTATACACATCAAAGGGGTTGTAAACTTATATCAAAGAAGGAAAAAATGCTGTTGGAGTCCAACTAATCACTACTGAGGAAAGTGGGAAAAACACTGAAGCTAGTTTTATTTCCTGATAATAAATTGATTATTTTTCAACATTCAGCACATTTCGGTGATCATTTTTAAATTCAGCTTTCTACCAGCATTCAAACCGGTTTGGCGCTTTCAGCTTCACTTTCCACAGTAGTGATTTATTAGATTTGTATTTATTATTGGTAGTCATTAGATTGTATGTATATATTAAAAATGTCTGACCGTCTCTCTATTTCTGACAATCCGTCTCTTCCTCTTTTTATCCGCAGACAAGGTTTTTGACGATCAAAACAATCACATCCACATCTTCCGTCTTTGTATATTCGAGTGTTGAAGGGTACTGGGCAATCACGACATCTAAAAGGCAAATATGACTATTAATAATATAATAAAAAATGTTTTATTACATTCGATATTTTTGCTCAAAAGGAAACTAAATCTATTAAAAAGTTAGAAGTAGCTACATTCTTCTTAAATTACGAATGCTAAGACATTGAGAGCATTGAATTTTTTTCTAATATGTAAGTATTCTATATATTTGAAATTTTTTAAAATGTAAAAATATTTTATAAATAATTTTTAATTACGGTTAAGTTATGTATACATTACATTTCTTTTGTAGAATACTTAAAGCTATTATTTTAAATTGATCTCAAGAAAAGTTCGTATATGATATGAATATTTGATAGGAACATTTAGTAAAAAGTATGATAAATGTATAAAGTATAATATTATATAATTTAAATGAAAGATGCATGTAAAGTTACTTTTATTTTTTATACTTTTCAAGGTGAAAGAAAGTGCATTTAAACGCTGACAGATGGCAGCACCATAAAGTGCACAAAACGCATGACATAAAATTATGAAAAGGTTTTATATCCATGTTCTGCATAAAAAAGTAATTAATATGCTCGCATTATGAAAATTAGTATTATTAAGTGGATTAATTAAAATCTTTGAAGACTTAATCACTCATTAACAGCAGATTCAAACACGTAAATTCTCTTAAATTTGTTATTTACAGTACTCATGAATTCATAAATTCATGAACTTCGAAAATTAATGATAAAAATTGCAGAGCTGAAATGTTTAATTATCAAATTTTTATTTTCAAAGACGGAATTTTAAGTATTGAACACATTTTTAAATGTTATTATTTAATATTTACTCCTTTCTTTTAACATTTTCCCTTGATCATGATTTTTTAATCTATTATGTAAAAATTTGTAATTATTCTATTAATATGCCAAAAATACACAAATAATTTGATAAAATAGAAGAAAAAAAAAATAAAAAAATTCCTTCCTGGTTTAAATTTTGTGTTTTTAAATTTAGAATTCATGCAATTTTGAATGATAAAATGTTAAAAATATATTATTGTTATCAACTGCCTTATGTTTAAAAACTGCGATTTGTTTATTTATAAAAACTGATTTTCCCATTCACTAATTTACTGATTCATCCATAAGGTTCTTTTTACTTCCATTTTATAATTTTTTCACTCAATAAATATCAAGAATTATTCATAGTAACGGTTGCCCGAGGACAGGAAAAGCTAAAAATATCATACTTTCAGATTTAAAAATCAACTATTTTTAAACCATAATCACGTATAAAACACCAGAAAGAAAATTGCCATTTTAAAAAGTATGCGAACAGAGATGCAAACACACGTCATAATAAATTAAATATTAAATGATTCGTGTTATTATTGATAAAAGAACAACACGAGAAAGAACACACTGAGAAAACTGAGAAGAAAACTGAGAAACAATAAAAGAACACATTGAGAAAATCTAATTAACTATAATAATATTAACCATAATAATATTAACTATAGTTATGTTTTTCTTTTAATCAGAAGTGCCAATACCATGCTGTACGGTAATTTTACCAGAATTTTGTTTTCCGCGAAGGAAAGTTAAATGTCTATTATCTAACCATGGGTATCAGCAATGAAATTTAGTATTTTCGATATTGCTTCTGAACTAAATGACTCCGGAACACCGGAACGTAGAAATTGTTTACAAACCACCCCTTGGAAATTTAGAAAACTGTAGTAAAAAGACACGATCCAAATTGGCTGTCCCTAGTTCTCGATATATTTGCGAACATTCTCCAACACAACGACTTTCGCTTTTATATACATAGGGAAGAAATGACTGGATACTTAATTTATATACCCTTAAATACCGAATGGTTTGTTGACGTATACCTGTTTAGGCAGAGGGGGTGCAATTGCTCTTGTTTTCCAGTGGCGCCATCAATGGCCAAGAATTTGACTTCTGCCACACTATACGTCACACCCGTTTATAGGGCGAACCCATTCATACATCCAATCATTCATTCACAAATCGTAATTTTGATCTGAATCAGAGAACGTTCGATCTCCAATCTAGTAACCCCAGAGGTATTTGTTAGGGGAACATGGAGGACTTTTGCGACTCGACAGATTTAACGTGCATCAGTCACTTTACTACACGGGGAGTCTTCGGCCGGCGGGGTTAGAACCCACGAACTCTCGGACATGGGCCCAGCACTCTACCGACCAGGCTATCCCGGCCACGGAATGGTTTAAAATGATCAATTGAATGGCTTAAATACCGTATACAGTTGACTCGCGTTATAACGACCCCATCGGGACTGCCCCATCTGGTCGTTATATCAAATGGTCGCTATATCAAAATGAGCAAATTTCCTTTGAAAATCGGTCACATAATGGTTTTAAACGTCATAATGCATGCATATACTATTTGTGGTATACATGTTATAAACCAAAAAAGGATAGGATGCATACATTAATAAAACATAATGACATTTTAACAATTGAATTACAACTGTTAACAATTAAGAATTTTATTTTAAACTACAGATTAAAAAACATAGTATGACAAAAAAAAATCTAGTTTCTAATGAATTAATTTTTTGATGTACATAATTTGCGGTATATATAACGAATTTTTTTTTATGTACATAATCTGCAGTATTATAAAGAAGAGTAAACCGAGGAACATAAACGAGGCTTCATTAGGCGAAGACATTAATTTTTTAATGTGCATTAATTTGTTGAAGTAACATGTTAAGAGGACTTAACATATGTGTGCTTGTTCAAGGTCAACCATTCAACCCCACTTTCCAATAGGAAGTTAGAAAAGAGCGGTGTTCAAATTCAGAGAGGGTCGTTATATTAGGAGTTGACCTTTTTTACGGTCGTTATAACAAGAATAAAATAGCGTTATCTTCTATGGATGTGAATTGGGACTCCTTCACAGGGTCGTTATATCATGTTGGTCGTTCTATCACAGGGTCGTTATAACACGAGTCGACTGTATTTTAGTTTTCATTACGAAAATTATGCTCGATTTCTTACCAGAAGTGTAATTATCCTACAGTACAGTAATTTTGCCAGAGTTGTATGGTATTTTTTTCCCCGTGTGTTCTGCGATGCATTTTTCAAGTGAATAATTGGCAATAGCTTCCGAAAACTTGCGATTCCAATTTTCATTTGCTAGGAATTTCCAACTAATATCCAGAAGAGTATGTTTTTGTCGAACGCAGAAAATTAATTTTAACATTTCACTTGATAATTGCATTAAAGCGTAACTTTCAATCTCCTAATTTCAGAAATAGCTTTTGGAATTTAAACGTATTATTAAGTTGCAATAGAAGTTAAATCCACCTAATCTTCGATGGAATAATTGTACTTAGCACTCGTTATAATTAACTTTTGAATAAATGTGGGCTTACTTCGATTTAGATGAATCTCTATCCCCGTCCAGCGGGGTGTTTTCATCTTCCTGTAATCTTCGTGGCATGTCATTAATAGGCTGACAATGGCAAGATGTGTGGTTCTGGAATAACAGCTTTTCAACTTTACTATCGCCACCATTTCTGCCCACTGAAAACGTCTGCAAAAATAAAGTTTACGTCTCAAATTCAAAATTAAAAGAAATTAAAAATACAATGATAACCATTATACTTTAAAAATTATCAGAAAAGGAAAAATTTAATTCAGTAGTTGGATAAAGGAATTTCTCATTGAATAAAATAAATTTAATATTTGCCATCGTCGTAGTGATTAGAAAAAAATGAAATAGCTTTGGTTATTTTCAGCAAAAATGTAATTGTTTTAAGCAATTAAAAATTTGAACTTGTTTGCGATTAAATTTATAAATGATGTACTAATATCTCAAATATCGAATGTCTTATATTTAAATGTTAGGTGGAATCATTTAAACTAATAAATTTAATGAAAGAAGAATAAATGAAAAAAACTAGTATTCGAGATCATACTAGAAATTGATTTAACTTTATTAATATCTAATTGCTAAGGCAAGGCAGATAATAATTTTAGTTTGAGATACTACATGAGAATTATAAATATAAGAGTTTGATGTAAGGAAAGAAAAAGTTACACCATAAATACCTCAAAATATTTTACTTACTATACTTGTTAGTACAGAATCATCCTTAGCTTTAAAGTTTTTACACTATGTTATGTTTCAGTTTAAAATGTGTTAAAATAAGAGAAATAAACAAAATGATTTGTGTTTTATTATTATATTTTATTTACCAGTTTTGAACAGCCGATCCAATTCTGAGTATGCAACTATCAATGTTCAACTCCTTAGTCCTTTTTTTAAAATTGTTATTGAGCAGCCGACCAAATTTTTGAGTTTACTATCACTAATTTTCAAATTTGGTAGCCTTGTAATTTTGAACCCAATCCAGGAAACAAGGGAACTTTTTAATCAAGTATTGGGGAAAATTTGCCTTCTTGGAGTACTTTTTTGATTGAAACAGATAATGGGTTAGAGCAGTGGTCTTCGTAAAAACGGATCATGTCTTAGATTATCATTGACGGAAAAGGGACTCTAACCCATGATCCGTTTACCACTGAAGATATTTTACGTCATCATTGTAGTCGGTGCAAGCTGGGTGCGGATTCATATCGACCAGTCATAATTGGGATTCGAACCCAGCTCACATCATTGGGGGATGAGCGCTCTATCTTCTGAGTCACCTCAGATAAACTTCTTAGTCTCTTTAATTTTGAACCTAACCCAAAAGACAAGGGAATTTCTAGAAAACTCTTAAACTCCGGAGACTTGAAAGTTTGAACCCGATCAAGGATGCAAGAAACTTCTGGATGTAATATTGGGACAAACTAGCCATAGAGGAGGAATTTTTTAGGGCACTAACCCGCATTTGTGATATGAGGAGGAAAGTTACGATAACCTCTCACGGTTAGTCCGTCGCCAAGGGGATTCTAATCAATGATCCGTCCACCCCTGAGGTTACTTTTACATTGACAGTGTGGTCGGTGCAAGCCAGTAGCTGAACTCATAGCCAGTCACCGCTGGGATTCAAACCTGGGTCACCTCATTTGGAGGCGAATGCTCTATCTCCTGAGCCAGCGTGACTCTGTAAAATTGTTCTATAAATGCAGGTTTTTTGAAATTTTTTTAGACTTTCATTTTTAAATTTCATGGTAAGTTATAATGAGCCTGTAAGTTATAATGAACGTGTAAGTTATGATGAACATGTAAGTTATAATGAACATGTAAGTTATGATGAACATGTAAGTTATGATGAACATGTAAAATTTGACGGCTTATATAATGTTCTTTTTAGAAAAAATTTAAATATTGAGGTTTGTTTTATATTTCAATTTTAAAAGCATCGAAGTTTTCGCAAGCATAAAATATATTATGAAATATTTGTGTAAAACGTTTCTTACGTAAAAGTGCAGACTGACTTCTTGTATGGTTTTTGGAACACAATGAAATGCATCACTTTCACAACAACCAGTCTCATCACCACATCTGTGTAATATCGCACATCTCGGGAGATAATCTTTGGAAGGATCGGGATAATAAGCTTTCACCTTCAATATTTGTGGTGCTGGATTCCTACATCGAGCACGATTTCTCATCCTCAGGTAATGATCATTAGCTCTTTTCACATCGTCCATTCCTAGAAAAGAAATAAAATACTTTTTGGGGAATCATGTGGAAGTGCTAAACTACAATTTTCAATGAATAACTTTTTTAAACCTAAAATAATAAGAAAAAAATCTGAAAAATCTAGACTAAATTGAATAAAATGTAAATGCTATATCATTACCAGATTAAAACTAAATGTAATAAATTAACAAACACAGAAATCTGTAAAAGAATCTAAAAACAATGATAAAAAGTAAACATATGGGTGATTCCTTGGAAGCATGACATTTCGGACCAAAAATTTTCTTCAAATTTTAAGTTCTCAAAATAATCTAATTTTCTTTGTATACTTATTTAGTTACATTTAGTAATATCTTAGAGGCAGCAGTGTAGTTTATTGACATTTGCTCAAGAAAAAAAAATAAAATAGAAATTCACCAAATCTTGAATGCCAGGAAAGTGACATATTAGCTTAGAAGTTTAAAAAACAGTCATTTTAAGCTAATATTAAATAACTCAACTTAAGCCATTATGTTATATGGATCATAAATTGCCTAAATTAATTCTTTTTATCCACTGTAGAAATAATCAAAAATGTTTTTGTTGCTGATAGGTATAGAATAAAATTGTGTATAATAATCAATTATTAAATAAATAAATAACTTTTGATTACATTCAAGCATATTACAATCATACATAAACTTAGTATTAGGTTAATATTTGCTTTCCCTCTTTACAGTATACTGTTTAAAAAAATTTCTGGTAACACTTCAATGTCCTGGCATTCATAAGCCAGGAAAATGACAGCCAGGATAATGACTAATTTGCCATTTTAACTTTACTTTAATTTAATATTTTGGTCTAAGACGTTTATATTCCTCAGAAAACAACATGATTTCTTTAAATAACTCAGATAAATCTATATATAGGTTATGTTGTTAATGATTTCAAGAAACAAGAAAATGACAACATAAAACCTACTCACCTTGAAAAAATTTTTGAAATAGATTTTGAACTAAAACGTTGGTTCTTTATTCATGCAACAAGACATGTTCAGATAGAATGGTTTCTAATCAATCTTTCAATGTAAGATATTGATTGCTGGCGCTGTCTATTTTGGTTATAAATCACTAAGTAAAAGTAGCCAAGAAAATGACAGATTTTCTTGTGACAAACAAATGGAAATGACAACATAAAAACCTACTTACCTTGAAAAATTTTTTGAAATAGATTTTGAACCAAAAAGTTGGTTCTTTATTCATGCAACAAGACATGTTCAGATAGAATGGTATCTAATCGATCTTTTAATGTAAGATATTGATTTCTGGCGCTGTCTATTTTGGTTATAAATCACTAAGTAAAAGTAGCCAGGAAAATGACAGATTTTCTTGTGACAAACAAATGGAAATAACAACATAAAAACCTACTCACCTTGAAAAAATTTTTGAAATAGATTTTGATCCAAAAAGTTGGTTCTTTATTCATGCAACAAGACATGTTCAGAAAGAGTGGTTTCTTATCAATATTTTAATGTAAAATATTGATTGCTGGCGCTGTCTATTTTGGTTAAAATCACTAAGTAAAAGTAGCCAGGAAAATGACAGATTTTCTTGTGACAAACAAATTATTGATAGAGAAAATTATTTTAAACGAATATTTTGTAAATAATACCCTCTGCGTATATTCCAGAAATGCTTACATCGGTTGAGATAAAAAATTAGATTTAAAATTAGAAATAAACCAAAAAAGATGCTCTCAGAAACAAAAAAAAATAATTTTAAATTAGGTGTTGTCTTGTAAGGATGTAAATAAAGATGTTTTTATACAAAATTACGTATAAGTAATTTTGCATAAATTATAACTTATTTGCGAGTTTTTACGAATTTGCATATTTTAAAAGTAAGATTCAAATGCTAGATTTTGTTTTGGTAAAATTTTCTGCATAATCTATATTTTTCCGTTACATTAAATGAGTAAATAAGATATTAACAGATGATTTTTCTAAAGTTTTCCTAAAAAGATTTAGTTTGTTTCACTAAAGGTTTCTTATAAAAATTAAGACTGTTGGCCCTAAAGATTTTTTTTATACAAAGATTTAGATTAATACCCTAAAAGTTTAAGATTTAGACGGGTACTCTAAAGGTTTTTTTTTTCTACGAAGAATCCGAACGTTATTTTAAAAGTGTCATATTAAAATTTAGACTAGTACTCTAAAGGTTTTTTTCTACGAAGATTCCGAACGTTATTCTAAAAGTTTCGTATAAAAAATTTGGACTAGTATTCTAAAGGTTTTTTTCTACGAAGATTCCGAACGTTATTCTAAAAGTTTCGTATAAAAATTTCGAATGTTAAACTAAAGGATTCTTATAAAGATTTAATTTAACAGGCTTGAATTTCATTTATTCAAATGCAGATGCAGAGTATCTCTTTGAAGATGTCGTATGTAAACTGGATCATGAGAGGATAAATAAGTAAATGAAAATATTGCTTAACAGTAAATTTGACTTTGGAAATTGTATTGACATATTCCAAACTCGAAGTACATTAGCTTTGATACAAATTGCTAAGACGAAAATATTTATCTAGTTAAGTACGCAATATTTCAGTAATAACTAATAAAATTTTTAATTGAATAGTTTAAATTAGTTTGTAAGTCGTTGAAATTTCTTATGAATTAAAATAGTGTAAATAGTAAAAACTAAGTACGATTTTCAAAAAGAAAAACACGACAAAATATAATTGCTAATTTAAAAAAATATTAAAAGAGCTTTTTTTAGAAGAAGATAAACTGGCTCAAGTTTTGCCGGCTTCTTTCTTAAACATTTTTCCCATCGAAACTGTTATCCATTTAATACTTGAGTATTTATTGAGATTTTAATATCACTCCCAGAAACGTGACATATATTACTCTCTTCTCCAAAATCATAAAGGTTTTGAAGAAAAAATAAAAATCATTGCGAGTCAGACAAGCAATAAGCATAAATAGAACTAAATGAAACAAAAAATAATAAAAGTAAATTTAGAAGAGTGTTCAAGAAATTTTCAATATTATTTCAAATTTTGGAAGAAAGATTCGAAAAAATGATTTTTTAATTTAGATGCCTATTTTATTAGCTCACATAAGAGTTTTCTAATTCAGAGACACTTTTGTAATTTTGATGCCCTTTTTCACATAGTGCTTCTTTTAAACATCACGAATTAGTTGAGACCTTTTTAAAATTTTCTTTCTATTTCTTAAAAAAACTTTTTGCTTTGAGAAACTTCTTTTCAAAGGCAGGTGAGTAAAACAAGTAAAAGATAAATACAGTTTTTTATTTATAATTAATATTTTTATTCTTTGAAAGAAAAAACAAGAAAAACCACTATGGGTGAGAGTGGGGTGAACCATGGTAAAATGCATTTCAAAGCTTTGGTAAGAACTCATGCCGTCTACAAGGAAATAAGCACCCATATGAATGAAACGAGTTTTGACCTGGAATATTGTTTCTTTCACACGAACGTTGAGTCAGTTGCTCATGACATTAGTTCATCCTACCTCTCCATAGCGCGTGGAAATGCATTTTACCCTGAATCGTCCCTCTAGGCCACGGTGGTTTTTCTTGCTCTGTTTTTTCATCTTCATTTTTACAGTCTGGGCTCCTGCGGTTTTTGTAGTTTTATTTCTCATCTTTATTTTGCATTTTCTATGGAATATTTATGTTTTATAATTCAAATCACTCTTGTTTCTTCTCATTCATATCTGAGAAGTCTTGAGAATGGGTGTCTATTTTTGGGGGCTTAAAACATGTTGATTTTTATTTCCATCTGTATTTTTTTAAGACAATGACGTTTTTTTTACGAAGTAATACTAAATATGTTGTTTATTGATTTGGAATCAGATTTGTTTCAATTTTAATATTATCATTTGAAAAATTTTGATGCAATTAAAAAGAACTAATTCATTATGTAGGTAACGATAAGCAACATCAAGCTGCTTAACATAAGAGTGAAAGGAAAATGCTTGTTTAATAATACAGTTTGTATATCTTCTTTTTACTAAAAAAAGCGATGAATCAATTTTATCTCTTAATTCCTTTCTTAAAAGTACATTATATTGATTTGCACCGTTCAACGGTCGAAACTAAATAATAATTACTTCTCTCAAAACAGCATAAAACCATTCAAATCGTGAAACAAAGTGAAATTTAGTTAAAATTTTAGATATGAATTTTCCTCTCTGACAGATTCTCGATATATTTAAATCTTTCAGTAAACCATTTTATTTACTAATTATCTTATATAAGATTCCTTAAAAAAGCAATTCTCATCAATTTTATATTTTTGTGACACAAAAATTAATCTATAAAATCGAGATTGTTATTTCATTCTCAATTTCCCCCATTTTTCGCAACTCTTTCCTGAAGAATCAATTTCATATATTTTTCTGCTTAAAAATTTAAATTACAACGTGCTAGATTTATCTTTTAATTCCTTTTTAAAGAGAAAAATAATAATAATGTACTAGTTTTTATCTTTCAGTTCTTTTTAGGAGTAAAAATAATAACAATGTTCAAGTTTTCATCTTTTATTTCTATTTAAGATTGAACAACATTGTTCTGGTTTCAATGTTTAAAACCCTTTTCCCAAATCAAAGAGTTTAATAGTTTGGTTCATTTTTAAATGTCTAAATATAAATGAAGAAATAGATGAATAAAGAAATAAATAACGAAAGAATGACAGAAATAATAATACTAACAACATTGTACTACTTCTTATCTTTCGATTCCCTTTTGAATGTCAAGCTTTAAAAGTATACATTAAATCACTGTGCATCGTTTAACCGTTGAAACATAATAACAATAGCTTTTTTCAAAATGATACAAAAATAATCAAATCGATAAACAAAACGAAATTTGACTTACATTTTAGAAGCTTTGAACTTTCCTCTTTCATAGATTCTCGATATATTTTAATCGTCCAGTAAACCATTTTACCATTTATCTTAAAAGCTAGCTACTTTTAACATCCATTCTCTAAAAGCAAGTTTTATTTTTTTTTATCCCCAAAAAATCAATCTATAAAACCGAATTTTTTCAGCATTGTTCCTTTACCCCATTCTTCTCGTCCCCCGTTTTTCGCAACCCTTACCCCCCAAGAAGTAATAGCAAAAGAAAGGAGCTTTTAGTTAATGGCTAGTCCAGATAAGAAAATCCTTCACATAGTCGAAGAAGAAAAAAATTCTTTACAGAAACGTTTTAAATTTTGACCTTGAAATGAGTTAAAAACTCACTATTATCTGCGAGGCTGCCTGTAAGAATTGATATTACAGTCTTGCATAATAGCAGTTTCTTTCTTCTTTGATGCAAAAAAAATAAATAAATGAATACAAAAAAATAGGGCATTTTTACGTTCGCTTAAGATTTTGAAAAGGCTCATTCTAGTTTAAAAGTAGACCACCAGCTTGGAAGGTAAGGAGACGGGGGTGGTGGGGTTATTGAAGTTTCCAAAAGACATTTTAAATGCTTGGGAATATCTAGAATAAAGTGTCGAAGATATGGAAGTGATATTGTCAACGGAGATTTATGGGGGAAGTGATAAATGACTTTTTATTGGAAAGTGTGGGAGTCGAAATACTGTTCATATTTTTTTTTACTATTTTATAAAATGCATAAATTCAGTTTCACTGCATTTATTCTGATGTGTATCGTTGATAAAAAAAATAGATATTTAATAAATATTATTTTTTGTTTTATTTAACATTTAATTCATTATTTCGTTAATTGACAAAAAAACTTATAACAAAAAAAAATTGGATAGGCTTTGTTCATCAAAAAACTAATTTATTTTTGGAATCAGAATATCTTTCAAATAAACTATGTCTTTATTCGCAATTTAGAAGCATATTTTATAACAGGCGTTGAACAGCCTACCTAATTTTGAGTTTACGACTATCAATTTTGAACTCCGCAGTCTTGTAATTTTGAACCAAATCCAGAAGTCAAGGGAATTCTAGTATCAAGTATTGGGGAGAAATTTTGCTTTCGTGGAGGACTTTTTGATGGAAATAACCCGCATTTGCTTTACATGGAGAGGAAAACCGCGAAAACCTCTTACGGTTAACCTGAAGTCAAGGGGATTCTAACGCATGATCCTTCAACCATTGAGGATATTTTTTTTAATTATTAGCTGGGATTCGAACCCGGTTCGTCTCATTGGGAGTCGAACGCTCTATCTCCTTAGCCACCTCGGCTCTTTTAGAACATAATAATTGCTATAAGAAAAAGAAAAAATCTACTCGATTAAAATGTTATTTGTCTCTTAAAATTATCTGTTACTATAATATATAATTGCTTTAAGAAATAATATAAATTGCTATAAGAAAAAAAATCTACATGATTAAAATGTTATCTGTCTCTTAAAAATTACGTGTTACAAATTTAAATACACATTCTCTGACGTTGCATAAAAGCTATGGTCTGACTAAAACCCTTTTTGTTTCAATTCTATGGAGAATAAATGTTTACATTTTATAATAAAAATGTTATATTATTAATAAATATATCAATATATATTTTTATATCATAGTTCATCAAAAACTTTTCAGGAGGAAAAACATTATGAACTGAACGTCTATTAATATGATAATAGTTTGCAGTTTTAAAACATTTGTTTCATTAAAATTTAAACGGACGTTAGAACTGCTAAATGTTTATGGGAGATATCATGTAAAAAAATTTAATGTGCCTAAAAAAGCAGAAAAGCGGTTAAAGAACTTTTTTTAATAATAATATTACGTTCTGTTAGGTAAATCCTTTCTTATCTGAATTAAAGAGAGGAAAGAATAAAAGCATTTTTTAAAACTTTTTTGTATTATTTGGGTCAAATCTAATATCAAAAAAACGTTTAGTTTCTTTTAATTTCTATTCAATAGCTTCGTATTCTATTTTTTTGTTATTTCATTTAATTTTAATGAGAATGATAAAATGAATATTAGTGGAACTGCTTTCCCAAAAAGCCCAAAAATAAGAAATAAAGATAAAATTGTGCACAAGCAATTTTTGTTCGCAAATTACTATGAAAAAAAGGTAATTAACCGAAAAAAAAAATCACATTTCAGCGTTGATGTTATGAGGTAACGAACAATTTTTTTATTTGAAGATAATCCAGTAAAATGGTGATGTTTCAAAGCAATATTAGTGTATGAATTAGTAAAACCAAATGAAGATTAAATATGGACAAATAATATTTTGAATTACAAATTCAAAAGAAAAAATTGTTCAAACATAAATATTTCTTTCTAAAGTGTTTCTTCCTTTTCCTCTCAGAGAGTCTTATAATATACACAGTTAGAAATTGTGCGGAAACAAACGACTGAACGGATTTCAAGTCCCAGCATGATATTTCCTTCATTCTCTTCACATGAAGAGATTTTAGTGTCCTGCACTTCCCAATTTGTGATCCTGGACTATTAGAATACGATACTCTCATTCACACATAAATAACAGCTTTATAAAGTTGCTTAACACAAAAACTTTTAGCATTTCCGATTTCCTAAGATAGGTGAAACAACCAGATAAATTAATTAAAACCGTTTCTACGGTTCATTCAATAAAACACAACTCAACTACAGCTAAACTACAATGCCCATTACCAAGCGAAAAGCAACGTAAAGTAAAATATCTCTTTCATGGTTTTGAAACCATGCTAGCAGTAAATGGCTAAGAAACAATGTAATTTTGCATTTATGGTTTTTTAACCACAGTAGCAGTAAACAGTTTCAAAACCATAATAGTAAAAAATGTTTCTTACTGCAAACTTTACTGTTAATTGGAAGGCCAGACTACTGCCATTTATTTGACCTTAATTTTAGTAGGAAAATTCTAACCGTTTAAGAAATTATAAACATGTTTATTTATAAATTTAAAAATTATAATTATCATATTGAATCAATATAAATAACTTCAAATTTTTTTATACACTGTTTTACAAATCATTTACCTTTATTTACAGCAGGAAATTTAGCTCTTGCTGCTTTCAGACCATTAGGGCCGTATTTCTTTCTTAATAAATTCACCCCTTCTTGAGTACCATATACCTTTCGGTAGTAGTCTTGTCGATTATTTATGGGACCCAATGCTGATTCAAATAATTTCCTATCATCAGTCATTCCTGCTCTTCCTCTGATGTCTGGAGGTTTGGGTGATGATGATTCTGTGAGTGCAATGCTTGGAAATGAATAGTTCTGAAAGTAGAAATTGAAAATGAAAGTGATTGAGTAATAACAGTAATCGGGTAAGAAACCTTATGATATATAACATAACACGATTCTCTTTCGAAGCTCATAAATTTGGGTTAAGTTGTATTTAAAACATTGTATTGTAGGTTTATATTTTTACGAGACAGGCAATAGAAGATGCTGGAGTTAGTAAACGTAACACACCTTTAGAAATTTTTCGGAAAAGAATGAATAAATAACAATTTATTTAATTGTTATTTTACCATATTCAAACAAAACACTCAAATAACTATAAGTATAATAATAATTTGTTAACTGAGAAAAACCGCTTATTAGCTGCTTTCACCTATTACGGTTAAGCAGCCAGAATTCTATCGCGCCAACTAACCCTATATAATGAAGCCACTTAGCTACTAGCAACTACGTACCTATTATAGCCAAGCTAATCAGCAAGAATGCTAATCAGCAATCTCTTGACCGACCGAACAAGGGTTCGATTCCAAGAGTTGACATACAATATTACCTCCATTTCCTTTTATGCAAGAAAAGTTTCCAGTGTCCTGTGCACTGGACTATTATAAAATAATACTCTCATTCACGCAAGGATGTCAGCACCATAAAGCCTCTAAAATATCTCAAATGCCCCATTGAATTTATCTTTTACGGTTTTGAAACGATACTAGTAGTAAATGGTTGAAAAACCACACTGTTTTGTATTTATGGTTTTTTAATTTTGCGAGTTGTAAACGGTTTCAAAAACATATTGGTTAAAAAAAGTTCTTTACCGTAAACTTGATGGGTAATTGGATGGACAGATTAATGCTGGTTATTTACCATAATTTCAGAATGAAAATTCTAACAGTGGCAAGCACTGTTTTATAATATTTGACTTGACAGATGATGCTTGATTATGAACGTAAATCGAAATTCAGCATATCACTTTTAGCATTTGAGTGCATCATTTCCTTTAGTAAAAATTTAATTTTATAAAATTAATCTGCATTATTATTCTTATTTAAAAGCTATGTGTCTATAGTTTGCAGATTAAAATATTGATATTATTTGATGAATTCTTTTAATAAATCTTTGAAACAGGTAAATAGAAGTGAAGGAATTTAAAAAAAAATATTGTATTTAATTTTCGTTACTGTCCAATTAAATATTAACGAACAAATTAAAAGAATTGTAGAAGTGTTTAACGGTGAACACAAATGTATTCTTGTACAAAGAAATTATTTCTAAAAAAAAAAAAACGAAAAAGAAAACAATCAAACAATAATGCAAGCAAAAATTTCGAGATATGATGATATAATGATTCCTGAGGAAAAAAAGGTTAGTTAAGTTTATATTTCTAGGAAAAACTTGCTGGTTTCAATTGTTAACTATTGGTTGGAAGAATATATTGGTTCAGAGATCTTATAGTTAAGTTGGTTGAAATATAGAAGTTAAAACTTAAGTTAGTTAGAAGTTAGTCCGAGTTAAAACCAGACGTTATAGGGCAAACGTAGAATGTCGTTTTGGGAAAGTCTCGTGGCCGCTTCTATTTCCTGGAAAAATTTGCTCGTTTCAATTGTTAATTATTAGTTGAAAAAATATATTGATTTGCAGATCTTAGTGTTATCTGAAAAATTTGTGCTTGTTCTAATGCTTCCTATTTGCTAACTTAATTAGACGGCTTCTACTGCTTACTGTTGGATAATCTATGAATGGTAATGTTATTTTTTTAAAATTATTTTTACAACAGTCTCGTTTTTCGACTAAGCACTATTTAAAACTTAGACAGCGGGTTCGACTCAAAGTGTACCAATAGATAAGTAACAGTAAATAAATAAATTTGAATTAGTTACATATACTGGGTCGTGTGCTAATGCAAATAGTTGGTCGTCTCTTGCTCAATTACAGAACAGATATCATAAAAATGAGAAAAACAGCACAGTTATATAGAACCCACTACTTCTTCGCTTTTGAGAGTTTGGCAGGACAACATCCACTGTAATGGAAATCCCGATAATATAGCAGTAGAAAAGACATGGAGAGAGGCAAAATATCTGGCCACAAATATAGTGAGATGGAAAGTTGTTGTAGTTAATTTACGTTGCACTAGAGCTGCACGATGGGCTATTGGCGACGGTCTAGGAAACACCCCTGAGGATGATCCGAAGACATGCCATCACAATTTTGATCCTCTGCAGAGGGGATGGCACCCCCGATTCGGTAGCCCGACGACCTGCACGCGAAGTCGAGCACTTTACGGTAGAACAGTTTAACGAAGACCAATACCGCACACCCTCGGTCCCAACGCAGACTGCACCACATGGTCACCCACCCGCACACTGACCGCAGCCAGTGATGCTTGACTTCAGTGATCTGCTGGGAATCGTTTCTTAACTATCAGTCCACTGCGGGACGTGAGATGGAAAGCTATGATGGAAGTCCTATGCTCCAATTGGCAGTGAAAAGGAATAAATATGTATAAAAGTCATTTATTTGGCTATATTTACCTTTTGGATTTGTTTTTGTTACTAACTGTATTGTAATGAGAACTATAATTTTGAAAAATAGAATTTCTGGTAAATCGGAGCAACAGCGAACGGTAAAATTATCATACAAATGGTTTAAATACCGATATTTCATTTTGATTTTCAAAATTTTCATTTCTTCATTCGCCAGACATATCCTTACCATACAAGTATGGTGATGTTGCCAGATTTTTTTTCCATACTTAATAGCAATTCTTTACCATTGATTGCCCACTTATGATATGCAGAATAATTAATTTTTTGTATCTTGTCACAGATGCTTACGTCAAGCAATGATGTGTCCAGGATTATATTCATTCGAAACTTCATAGACAAAAGTACTGATATTTGTTCAGAATTCATTTAGAACTAAATGAATTACGTTACACTAAATTTTAGTTTAAAACATAAAATGCAGCTGTCTTCAACAAAAAAGTGTTAAAAAAGCAATAATGATGAAAAAATACTTTTAATTTATTCCCATTTTGAAAAAAACCCCATCTAAACGGCTCTCTGATATAGCTTAAAACACCCAAGCGTAATGATAAAGAAGGTCAGGAATTTTTTTTGGAAAAAACTAGGTGATAAAAACAAAGATATAATTATTTTTCATTTATTACACGCAAAAAATCTAAAAATATTACGTCCTTAGCGATTTCTAATGAATTTAAATTACATTTTTTTTAATAATTAGTTTATTCAATCGAGAAACAGATGTTTCCATGTTTAACAGCACTTCTTTGACGTCAATTGCCCATTTATGGTAAACAAAACAGTTTTATGCTTGTACTTGGTCACACATACTTACGTAAAAGAAGATGTGCTTAGCATTAAATTAATCCAAAACTCCCTGGACTAGAATATAAATTTTCCTTCATACATCCTTTAAAATGAAATAAATCACTAACCTCCAAAAATTTACTTCAGAAAAACAGTTAAGAAAGCAAATATTAAAAATATATCTTAACATTTTTTACTGGCAATCGGTATAAATTTGATAAGTGTCTAAAAATGAAAGATATAGACAGTTTCAGTCCTTTTCTAGGTGTTAATAAGATATAAAAATGCGCAAGTTAATTGCATTTTTAAACCTTTTACACCTCTAAAGAAAATAAATTGGCACTTATAAAACTAAAAAGCACTTCAAGCTATCCATTTATATGCATCTTCATTCGCGTGAAAGCTAAAAAGATAGAACTAGTTCCAACTTGGCAGAATTTTTAATCACTCAACTCTGATTTTTTTTCTTCTTTTTATCCTTGTTGAACGAACCCACTCACCTTTCAGACGATGGGAAGAAAAAAAAAACATCAATTGCTAATACTTTTTTTCTCTCTTATAGTTGACAATATTTGGGCGACAGTAATTACTTATAAAAAAGGATTTGGTAACTCGTTTTATGGCCCATTAACTTTTCATTTCACACTTATGGCTCTCAAAAACGGTAAAAAAAATACCGAAAGAGGAAAAGGAAACTAATCTATGTTTTTATAAACACATATTTTTTGCATTCTTTTCATTTCCTATTTCAAATAAAAAATGCATCTGTTTTTTAAAAGGAAAATAAATAAGTAAATAAATTATAGTTTACTGGCTGTTAATTAAAATATGAGAGCTGAATTAATTTCTTAGAGAAAAAATCGATCAAACAAATTTCGATATGTTTAATTTTCAACCGCTATTGTGTAATTGGTGTGTGTTAATAAAATGTTAGATAAATATTTTAATTTGTTATAAGAATTTTTTTTTTATTACATGCATAGCGTCCTCGTAAGAATGTTAGTAAGAATATTACAATAAAAAGTACGGATACTAATTACGATTACTAATTACAATATATTACCTATATGCCAATATTAATTACCGTAAAATCCAATATAAACCAGAACATGATATGGAATATACCATATTAAAATCACTCAATCACTCTAATTAGATAATTACTGAAAAAATTGCGATATATTTTACGATGCAAATGGATTATACGGAAAAAAATGGATTACACGGTAAAATATATTTTACGGATAATACACGTAAAACGCCAGGACGTTAAACCGTAATTTGATCCGGAATTTTTTATAGTTTAGCAAGGCACTTGATACATATATCATTCACTGGAGCAGGCAAACACGCAAGCATACTAGAAGAATAAACATTGAATATAAATATTATAATATTTATGTTCAATAGTATAATATAAATATAATATTGCAATAAAATATTTGATTTTTTTTAAAATTAAATTTAACTTAATAAATTTTCGTATTTTGTTAAAAGCGCAACTTACTTGTTGTTAATTGAACGACGAGATATGTAACAGTTCTAAGAAAAGAATCAATCAAATAGCATTTTATATATTTTTTTTTTCACTGAGGAAAAAACGCATGGATTGGTTGTACTGAGAAGAACCAGAATATGGTAAAATTTACTTTGTTTCTGGCTCTATGGGATCACCAAAAAGCTCGGTGATTTTTACCGAAGAATTTT